TTTTAATCCTTTATAATTTTAATTATTTAATTGCTCCTTCCTCTCTTCCTTGGCATGATGTGAAATTTCTGATAGTTGGATAATAAACCGTTTTATTGTAATTTGTCTTTTTAAATTATTAGATGATATTAAAATTTGGAAAAGGGGATCCCTAGGTCGGTAAAATAGGCGAATTTCCTTCTACAACTTCGGTTGTTGTTCGGTATACAGTTAAAGTTTTAACAAAGTTTGAGCGAATATGTAATTAGCAAAAAAAAGTTGAAATAAAGTGATTAAACAAACATTATTACGAATATCGTAAATAACAGTTTACAAATGCATATATAGAAATATTTTTTGAAATCGATCGTGCACACAGTGAAATGCTCGTATACACGCGCGCCATCTATCGTAGGATAAATGTACTATGCCAAAAACCTTCGCGGGAGTGTATTAAAAAACTTTCCGAAGTTTTATGGCAATCGTACTATGCCACAAACCTTCGCCGGAGTAAATTAAACAACTTCCTAAAGTTTCATGGCAATCGGATAAACAGTGTGGTAATGCATGAAGGACATAAGACAGACACACAGACAGACATACATTCATTTTTATATATATAGATGAATAATGAAATCATCCCAGATAAACAATTTCAAGTATCTTTTTTTCTGGTTACTTACTCAAATGTCATTGTAATACATTGTTTGCAGCACTATAAAAATAGTTCCAGCAAATTATTAGCTATCATTTATTGCATGACTATTGAAAATTTTCCATTTCCATAATACTAAGCTACATTATTTTGAATTGTACCCAAGTTCTACTTGGAAGGCTGATATTAGACTAAATTAATCCAAAAAATTTCTGAAGGAATAAATATTTTAGTGATAGTAACTTAAAATCTTAAATATTTGAATATAGTGCCAAGTTTTATACTTACTTTTAATTGCACAATTTTAATTCAAAAGAATTGTTTTTTTATTAATTCTATAATTATCTAATAAATAATTCTTTATATATCATTGTTATAATTATATTTTAAAAATTAATACAAATTTTTACAATATGAGTATCAATAGATTAGTATTAAAAATAAAAGTAATTTATGAATGGCAAGCAAAATTTTTTTGATACACTGTTTAATGTTAACTGCATTTTATTATATTTTAACCTAAAAATTAGATCTTTCCTCACTTTCAAATTATCACCATAAAGTGATATCATTCCATGGCAATATCCATCATCCAATTATAGATTCCAATTCTATTGACTCTTCTGAACTGATATTTTTATCAGTTCATAAGAGTTAAAGGAATTGGAATATATATCCTGAATCATTTCCATCAGACAATCATTCACAAGCTAACTGATCCCATTTTTCTCTTTGGGTGTTTTATTTGAAGTAATATACTACAGAAGTTTTTGCTAAGTAATATATAATTTCATTTCACTAAAAAGTATTAGTAAAGAAAATACTCAGAGAACTATTAATAGTCCAAGCTGAATTCTTGCAGCTACTGATTAAATGAATTTGTAGTACAGCTTTATATGCTACTTAACGTTTCATTGATTTGATTAACTTTTAGATTACATAATCAAAGAAAAGAGAAAAACTTATCGTAAGATCCACTTTTATCTATTGGTAATATGGCAATGTGAGAATCTGATTGTAAGATTAATTTAATTTTTCTAAATTTAAAACTTGATGTAATATTTCATTGTTGAATTGTACATTTTTCCACTTTTTTTACATAAAAGTAGATATGAACAAGGAAATTCAATTTTCTAAAAGAGATGCCACCATTTCCCATGACAAACTTGAAGCAAAAAGACTCATTGTCAAATGATCACAGTCCAAACTCCTCATTGAAGTAAATTTCTGAATATAAAGGTTTTGTATGCCTAATTTGGGGTGAATTCAGCCATTCCAGCCAGTTCTCCAAAACTTATATTTTTGTGTCTCATCTCCTTCAACTTTCTGACCTCCATCTGGCATACAAATTATCAAGGAAATCAAGATCATCGATTCATTAAGAGGTATTATATCAAACTTTGCGTAAACTCTCTCTCTCGTGCAGATTAGAGAATTAAGGAGTTTTTAAAGTTAGGAGAATTATTCTATTTTTGTATTTAATTTTAATTATCTTTATTAAATTTTATTATTTATTATTAAAATGATTTCGATGTCAACTCAATTTAAACAGTCGCTTTATCGAAGATCCATGACCCCTCCATTTCCACTCAATCTTTAAATAGCCTTCCTTTTTAGAACGTATATCTTAATATCACGAGGTATGACGTGATTATATTAACTCTTACTTGCCTGGTATCAGAAAAAAGACTAGGAAGATTGTAAGATTTCTGGTCACTTTTAAATTTATCATTGTTCCCATCTAATGACAAAGTGAGTAGGACTCACCGTCCTGTTGTCGGAAAGTGGGCAGAGAACAAAATATTCTCTCCCCCAATTTCTCACAGCAATATTTTATAGAATTTTATTATCTTGAGGTTATTTGTGAAGTGAATATATCTAAAACAAAATCTTTCACAATATTTCTGAATATTTTTTCAAAAATAATACATATATAATATATTTATAAATTTTCTTCTATATGGCAAAATATGTTGAAGGACAACAAACCTCAATCATTTCAACATCAGCATGAGAAAAGAATACAATAAGGCTAATATCTGACACCTCAATGATCTTTACCCTAACATTACCCCAATTATTTAATGAAAATTGAATGAGTGTCACAGTAAAATGGAAGATGGACAATTAAACACAAAAAAAAAAATCAATATGTGTAAATATCAAAACCACGCCATTCATCAAATACCATATCAACTAAATTCAAAATGAGTGATTACACAATAAAAAAGGTAAATATGTAAAATACCTTTGGGTCACTAAGATCAATATCTGCTTCAACATGCACCCAGGATGTTCCACAACCTTCTTTAATATTGCTCTTTTTGATGATAGTTGCTTCCTTAATTTGAACTTCTTTCTTCTTTTCTTGTATTAAATCCTTCCTTTCTTCAGATACATTTTTTTTCGCTTTTACCTTTTGTATTGTCACTCTTGATTTTTCACTTTCATTCTTTATAAGGGCATTCAATTCTTGTATTTTAGCAGCTACTGACATGTGGCCCCCTTCACCAGCTAATCGCTTTTCCAGATCAAAATTATCTTTCTCAGATAGGCCTGAAATTTCATTGAGTTTGACAGATTTTGGTTTATGCTGTGACGCACTTTTTTGCATACGATTTTTTAATTTGATTTCTTTTTTCTCTTTATCTTCTGATAATTTGATTAATTTTAATGATTTTTCTAAAGGAGTCACAGAAACTGTGGATGGATTAGTTACATTATGTTTGTGAGAATCTCTTGAAGTTTGTCTATAAATTTTCTTTTCAATTATAGTTTTTCTAACTGAAGAATTATTTAAACTGTCTTTGTGTAATTTTCTGGAATGATCTTCTGAATGTTTGGACTGTTCGTGTGTTTTTGTTTTAGTTGTATACAAAATTCGCGTTGAATTCTTTTTTCTTTTATCAGACATTAACCTACTGGAACCAGCAGATATTTTTGTTTTTTCATGTAAGTATAGTTTGTCTATTGTTACTTTACTATAAGGATGCCCTAAATAATTTGTATCATTCTTTAAACCTGCTGTTTTTGTTATCTGTAACTTCTTTTTTGGAGGAATAGCAGGAGGAATTTTATCTTTTGTAATTTCTTTTCCTGTCATTTCTTTTTCTGTGTTTTCCTCAATTTGGCACTTTGATTCATTACATGTAGTTTCACTACTCAAAGCAGTTTCATTTTCCATCTTACTTTCATTATTTGATGATTTATCAATGACAGAAATTTCGCTCTCATTTACTGTGACTTTTGATTCTTGATCTGGTAATGTTATTTGAGTTTCATTCTGTTCTACTGTATTTTCTGATGGTTGTTCTGCTTCAGTATGACTTCCAGTATGGCTTCCACATTCTGATGTTACTAAACTTCGAGTAGAACCAACCATACAGAGGCGATAAAAATCTCTATTAAATTCAGTTGCTTCACATTGTAAACTATTAAAATCAGTTTTCTCTTCAGGAATGATGATATTACAACATTCATCTCTGATTATATCAGTGTCTGTAACAGTAATAGCAGAACTTTCTTGAAAATCATAGTTTTTCAAGGAAAGAGTGTCATTTTGATCATTACTTTCAACATTATTATCTACATCAGGATGAGACAATACAATTTTATCTTCAGTTATATTAGTTATTGAATTTTTAATATCTGTTGTTTCAATTTCTTTGTTTATGAAATTATCACATGTTTTATCATCTAACTGAAGTGATGATTGCAGCTCATTAGTATTCCATAAACCAGAGTTCCAATAATCATCCTGATATTCATCTTCTAAAGTTGTTTCCTGAATTTTTTCTAACTGATGAATATAAGATTTATCTGGAAAAACAGCATCATTTGGCTGATTCCACTGATTTTCCCACATAGTACTATTGTTCGCTACACTTTTCACCTCAGTATTTGATAGCTGTAAACTCCAATTCCCAATTTCTTCATCATCATATGTATAATCAGCCTATTTAAAAACAACAACATATATTTATTTTCTATAATCAAAATAATATTAAACTAAAAGTAAAAAGTTTAAAATACTTTATACAAAAAATAAACCAAAAACTTTTTTTGCATAATAAAAAGAGAATGATAATTAATGCTTTCAAAACTAAAATATCCATAGATAATTATAACAATCAATATATTAAGAGCATTTAAAGGAAAACTGAATTCACCGTATTGAATTTTTAAAAGTAAAATATTTTTAATGTTAAAATAAATAATAAAACTACAGTAGAATGTCAGTTATATGTTTTAGATTTATTCATTTTTCCCACTTATACATTTGTCAGTTCCAACATTATACAAAAATTCATTTATAATTTTCTTGATATTTACTTTTTTACCAGATTGAAATAAAATTCCTTTCAACAAATTGAGAAATTACTTCAGGGTATGTTTACATTTTACATCCTCAAATTTATGATTGTCATCTTTCATAAAGCATCCCTTTCTTTATCTTCAGCTATAAAAAATGTGGGTAGTCATAAGGGAAAGACTGTTGTTTTTCATTGTAGAAGTGGTAAGAACAATTAAAAATGGTTAAGCAGTTTTTAAGTATAGAAAATTTAAAAGAGTTGTAAAAAATACAACGTTAACACTTTCTTCTGGTTTATGGATGAGTATCACTAACAAAATAATTTTTCTGTAAAAGTGAAAAATGAGTTTCAATCATTAACGGTTTTACCTATTATTCTATGGAGCTGGATGGCTTAGACATGTTTATAGTTGACACAGTAAGTAAGTTTAATTTAAGTTAATAAAAAACCATCATTTCCACTGCTAAGTGGTATGCATTGTATAATATTTCAATGTTTTATAAAATGGCTGCGAGCAGAAAGTTGTTGGTTGATAAAGCTTTAGATTTTATAAATGACAATCCTATGTCAAAAATGCATAGAAGTATTAAAATAAATGCTAAATAAAATGTTTAAAGATATTTTATTTTGGTGTGTTTGATACATACCAAACTTTTCAAATTTAAAAAAAATACAACATTTTATTATAATTTTTTAAAATATTTTTTTCTTTTTAATGATTATTCTATTAATTGTTTAATGTTTCTTTAGCATTTCACATTAATATTTTTTTTAAAACTGAAAAGATTTTTTTGAATTTAAATAATCAAACTATTCCAAACAAACAATGAAATATTCCAAAAAGTCACTTTACAAAAAAAAAAACCCACAAATATTTTCAATGCTTACTTATTAAGTATTTTTTCAGATTTTCTGAATGTTTTTATAAACCAGACTATCACTGTAACTAATCAGACTAATTAAGTGCTATTATTAATGATTAACTATTAAATAATTTGTTACTCTAGGTAAGCGTTAATTAATAATAGCACTTAATTAGCCTGATTAATCACAGTGATTGTTTGGCTTATTATTAATATATCAGGCTTAGTGATGTTTATATATTAACATATTTTATTGTTTAAATTATGAATATGTTAATTTTTAAAATAAGATTACAAAATATCTAAAACACAGAATTGGAAAGTTTATTTAATAATCTAAATAAATATTTGATAATTAATTAACATAATTTGGAGTCAAGCAAGTTAATTATAGGCCTGGAGGCCGATATCAACTGTATACACACATGTAGATGTTATGGTCAACATTTCAACCTAGCCAACAATGTTCAGCGTCACACTGTTGATCTGCACATATTGTGGTTTAGAGTGCAATAACATGTTCGCTGTTTATCAAATCAAATCAAATCAAATCAAAGTTTATTTATAGTATAAGGCTTTCGCCTGTTACAAGGACGTGAATAACTTATACAGGATATATGTCCTCCATCATTAGAAATTTTTTCTATATATATAATAAACATTAGTTATCTAATATGTAATACATTATTTAGTAATTAACACTGCATTTTTTATTCATAAGTTGCTTCGTATAATTATATAATTTAAAAATAATATTGATGTTTGCTTTGTCAAGGAACTTATACATATCCGTTTCATTAGAACAGTTAACTAATCGACCAATATCTGATTGTTGAATGTTACAATTTTCACTGCAATTTTCACAAAGAATATGAAATTTAGATAATGTCTGACTACAGCTTGGGCATTTGGTGTGAGAGTAGTCTATGAATTTATTGTTTAAATTTATCCAGTTTTTGTTTAGTCTTAACTGTATAAAAAATTTTTTAACATTAAATGAGAGATTTGTCAGCATATAACTATTATTTGATGGGTAATTTAAAATTATTTTATACCAGCTTGTATTATTTCGTTTCTGTATGTCATCGATATCTTGGACAATAGAGATTTCCATTACTCTTTGTATTAATAAATTATTTTGCTGTTCACTGTTGTATGACTGATCCATAAATAGACTCATCGAAAATCCGTATGTGTTAAATATCTTCGAGAGATGTACTAACCAATTCCGTTTTAGATCTGTGATCTTTGATTTTTGATATAACACATTCAGTAATTTTGTTGTTAGATCATCAGCGTTTATAATTTTTTGTAGAAATTTTATGTACCTTTTTATTAATATGGTGTTTAATTTATATCTACTTAGTTCCATTCTTAGAGCACTGCCTGGTATATTGTATTCTAATTGGAAAATTTTGCGGATAAAAGTATTTTGTATTTTTTCGAATTCGTTGAATTTACCTGTAGACCAGATAGGAGATGCGTAACACATCGAGTTAATGATAATTGAATTAAAAAGTTGAAAATGGGTTCTCAGATTCTTTATTTTAGCTTTGCAGAATAACACTATCAGATTATTTATTAAATTTTTTGCCTTTGTTATTGAGCTTTTATATTGTTTGTCAAATGATAAATTAGGCGTGAATGTTATTCCCAAGAATTTAACTTCATTAACAATTTTCAATTCTTCTTTCTTGATATAAAAGCACATGTGTTTTTTGGGTAAATTACTGCCGTTACGAAAAATCATTATAACTGATTTTTTGGGATTTATTTTAACTTTTAAATTTTCCAAGTATTCAGTTATTTGTTGAATTTTCCTGCGAAGTGCAGCAGCCGTTGGAGCTACTAATACAATGTCGTCTGCGTATGAGATTGAATGAATGATTTGGTTATCTATTTGGATGCCGTCTTCATCTCTTAGGAAACATTTGTTTAAGTCGAATAGGTAAAAATTAAAAAGGTACGGCGATAGAGGGTCTCCCTGTAATAAACCTCTATAAGTTATAAATGGTGGCCAGACATTATTATCTTGTTTAATGATCGTCTCGTATCTCCCAAACAACAAACTTATCATTTTAATCAAGTGTTCATCTGCTTTATGTTTTTTCAATTTTTTCTGAAGATCATTTATGCTAATCGAATCATACGCTTTTTCTAGATCTAAGAAAAGAGCAAAGACTTTATGTCTTTTCTTGATTAGTTGTATTTGTATTGATGCCATTAAAACGAATAGTGCAGTTTGGGTACCTCCTCTGTCCACAAAGGCATATTGCGTAGTGTTCCTATAGTTATTTGTGGCTGACCAAATATTAAATTTATCCGCTAGAATTGATGTGAATATTTTCCGAAGGTTCGATAACAATGCTATTGGTCTGTAGTTTGAAGGTTCCTCTCTTTTGCCTTTTTTATATATCATTGTAAAAATTAATTCGTTCCATTTATCCGGAATTATACTTTGATTATAGAATTCGTTGAATTGTTTGGTCAAATAACTGATGAGCTCTAGAGGAAATATTTTAATAAGCGAGTTGGGTATCATATCTGGACCCGGTGTTGATTTGTCTTTTAGTTTTTTAATCCGATTCTGAACTTCTTCCACCTTAATTATTTCTGAATGATTCGTTACTTGTGATAACGTATATTCCATTTGAGTTTGATTATGGCTTATCAAATAATTTTCGGAAAAATTCTTTGAAATATTTAATCCACTTGTCGTGTTCTATCCTTGTATATGCACTATAGTCTGATTTCTTTTTGCGAAATCCATTAATTGTTGACCAGAAAACTCTGGTATCTCTTGATTCTGTTAATATCTTGCTAATATTTGAAAAATACTTCTTCTTTTTTGCTTTAATTAAATTTATATATGTTCTTTTATTTTGTAAGTATTTCGTTAAGGATTCTTTTGTGTTAGTTTTTCTAAAGACTTTTAAACTTTTTTGTTTTTTAATTTTTTGGATATAACATGTATTGTCATACCATTCACACTTATATGTTTGCTTGTAGGGACTTAAGCATTTCCCAAATCTGTATTCTTCTAGTTTTGTTGTAAGTCTCAGATAATTCGTAATTGGCTTATTATCTTCCTCTAAAATTAACATTTCATCAATTATATTTTGGAACTCATTTAACAATTTCTGTTTATTGTAAGAAGGTTTATAGTCAATGCTCCATGTATGAAGTTCTTTTTCGATCTTTTTCTCTCTTCTTATATCTTTGTAGTATTTCAACACTAGTTGTATCGGAAAGTGATCTGATAAGTCGTTCTCCAGAACTGACAGAGACTCACAGTAATCTATCATAAATTCTGAGCAAATAATATAGTCAACCGTCGATTTTCCATTTGGGGAGACAAAAGTAAATTCCGCCGGAATATCTCCCTTTAATCTACCGTTCAAAATTATTAATTGACTATCTTGTACAAAATCTAGAAGTGCTTTACCATCCATGTTTAGCAGTTTATCCTTGGATGTTCTTATGTTACTAATATTGTCAAAATTCTGAGAAAATTCAGTATCAGTGTTTTCTCCAATTCGAGCATTAAAATCTCCACCAATTAGCCATTGCTGGACTAAAAAGGACCATCTTTCTATATAATTTTGAACTACACGTAAAACACTTCTCTTCTCTATTGATGGTGGAAGATACATCACTATTAGCCCCAAATATAAGCAATTCCATCTTGTTTTAATATTACTCTCCACATTGATAATTGCAACAATAAAGTACTCTGAAATATATTGGTAAAATATGTCTCCCAAACTTTTCTTAATTAGCATCAAGATCCCTCGTGCAGGACGACCGAATTTACTCTTACGTTGAGCATTACTATTTATGATACTATGATTTTGTGAGAGAATATTTTTTTCCTCTGCACTTAAGTTTAACATCCATGTTTCTGTGATTCCAATTATGTCGTTTGAATCTAAGAACTCTCTCACCGAATTTTTCTGTAGCTTTCCTCTCAAACCTTGGACATTCCAAAAACTTACTAACAGATCATATCTATCATTTTCCGAAAGTATCTTCTCATTATCTTTGATTATTCTGTTTACTACTGCTAGGTTAACTTCGTTATTATTATTATCACTATTATTGTTTACTGCAATGATTTTGCTTTTGTCGATATCCTGCTTCAAATTAAAATTATTCATTGCTGTTTCATTGTTATTCATTGCAAGCTTGATTTATGTTTGTTCCCAAAAAATGATTCAATTGTATAATCTCTCGTGTTAGTATCAAAGGTATACATTAGATTATCTTTTATATAATAGTCGTCTCTTACTAAAATTCTATTCTTTTCTGTTTTCTCTAGCTTAATCTTATTTATTAACTGTTTCCTTCTGATTCTGGATCTTAAACATAGATCTGATGTTATTATTATTTTTTTCATCTCGTCTTCCATTTTCGGTCTCACTGCCCAGAATTTTTTAAGGATTATGTTTCTGTCTTTAACCGATTCCATTATGATTTTTATTATTTGCTTATTATGCTTATTTTTAAACTGTACAAGACCCTCAATTACTACATTGTTAAGATCTAAAACATCGTTAGTAAATTTTTTAAACTCTTCTAACACATCCAAAGTTTTAAATGGAAAGTTCAAGATAACCAAATTTTTCTTTGTATTTTCATTTAACATTTTATCAAGTTCAAATTCCAACATACCTTTTAAATTGGTGTAAGAATTAGACTTTTCTTCCAGTGTGTGGATCTTTTGGCTAATATTTTTCATCTCTTCCTTGACTTTGGCATTATCCTTTTTCATGATGTTGATTTCAGATTTTATTATTTACATTTCCATATTTAAGCAATCGAACTTTTCCTGAATCAACTCGTAAATTGATTTAAGTGAATATTTTTACTCCTCGCCATTTTGTAACACTGATTCGCCTGTCGGTTCAAAGAAGTCTCGAATTGTGGCATTTCTAGAATTACCAGTAGACTCCTTCACATATTCTTCTGATAAATATTCTTCTTCCAGTAGCTCTACCAATTGATTATTTTCTTCGACTTCTTTAGCGTCTTCCTTACGCGGTCTCCCTCGCCCCCTTCTTTGCATAACTGCTTGACTAGACTGCGGGGGGATCGAGGAAATGGACCGGGATTTATTTCGATTCCAGCAATCATTAATAAAATTATAATCAATTTCAACGTTAGTAGAACTTTTGAAATACTTATTTTAACTTGATAATTAACACTATTCCTTAGAATATCCATAACCAACTTATTCTCAAGGGTTCAACAGAAAAGTCACCAACACGTTCCAAATTATGAATATGTTAATTTTTAAAATAAGATTACAAAATATCTAAAACACAGAATTGGAAAGTTTATTTAATAATCTAAATAAATATTTGATAATTAATTAACATAATTTGGAGTCAAGCAAGTTAATTATAGGCCTGGAGGCCGATATCAACTGTATACACACATGTAGATGTTATGGTCAACATTTCAACCTAGCCAACAATGTTCAGCGTCACACTGTTGATCTGCACATATTGTGGTTTAGAGTGCAATAACATGTTCGCTGTTTATCACTTGTTTTCATCTACATACCACCGAGCCTTATGGCTCAGTGGTATGTAGATGAATTTTAGAATCTGTGGCATTGCATTTCTTAGTAATGCTTAACAATCTGATTTCAGCAAGATAATGCCTATCCAAACACTGCTAGGATATCTCAAGAGGCCCTTCATTCCATTAAATGTTTTTCCATGGCCCCTGATATTCTCCAGACTTGTCTCCAATTGAGCTTGTTTGAGACATGTTAGGACAGTGGACTTATCTTCTTTCTTTCCCACAGTCATATTAAACAATCAATTACTAGTTTAGAAATTGTCTGCTATTCTGTTCTTGTATGATGCTCTTCTACAAAGGATAGTTCCTTGTATTGCCAACAATGGAAGATCAACATCTTATTAGCTGTAACTGAAAAAGGAAGATTTTTCCACTATTTTTTGTTTTTAGTTGGATCAATAATAAAGTTTATTAAGTTTCTATTTTGTATATTCCAATCACATTTATTTTAATGTTAATTTCTCAGATATCAAAATTTTTACAGAGAGTTTCTGGAAATAAACTGAATACAGAACAAAATTCAGAAAAAAAAAAACTTTACATTCTGTTGAGTTAATGCAAGGTTTGATTCTAAATTTGCAGAGAATGAAGGAAACACCTTATGAGAAATAGGAAGGAAAGAGCAAAAATAATTGTAGAAAAAATGGAAATGGAACTTGTTTGTGCTTGGAAGCAAGTTTCTAAGTGGAAAATAATCTTTGATGAAGTACTTACTACCAGAAATCTTGAGTGTTCACATCTGAACAATTTTTTCAACAACTACAAATCAATTTCTGAAATTAAACAATCAAAAATGACATCAGTGTCAAAAAAATTACATTCTCAGTTTGCATTCTTGAATGAATGTGAATCAACATAAATGGAACCCTGAGAGCTACAAATATAAGCTGATGAATTTTTATCATCTTTGAAATATGATAAAAATTTAAATACCATGGATTTTTGCAAGAAATTCAGTTTTTCACAAATAAGCTCCATTTGTGTTTAATTCAAGTAAAATAAGAATCTAGTTCCTTTTGGCTATTACAGAAAAATTTATGCAAATAATTTGGAAGATGCATTTCTAAATCTATACATTGTACTGAGGGTTTATTATTTGTTTCAGACTACATCTTCAAGTTTTACAAATAGTTAGAGCATAAGGCAAATATATTCTCAACCATATCACAAGAAGACAAGGCAAGATGTCTGCACGTTAGAAAGGAAGTTTCAATAAGTTAAAATTAATTAAAAAAACACTAAGATCCTCTATAAATCAGAAATATTTATCTGGACTTGTCATTTTTGCTGTAGAAAATCAAACAATCCATACCTTAAATTTTCAAGAACTTGTTTAGCAATTTACAGAACAGAAGCACAAAATAAAGTTTTAATTCTATTGTTATTTATAGTACAATTTTTTATAGCCATGGACGTAATTTATTGTAATATGGTTTTGTGTTGCTTATAATATATGTTGATGTTATAAATTTTTAATGAAATTATATTAAATATTATTATATTATATTCAAGGTTTGTTTCAAACCAAAATTAAATTCAATAAATAAATAAATGTAATTTTAAATGTTTCAATAGAGATAACAAGTGGTAAACTCAATCCTTGTCCCCTTGAAAATAACCTAGATCAGGTTGCCCTTATAATAAAAATCTTGTTCAACATGCTCTTTGTTGTGCTCTGACTTACACTACCCTACAATAATGGACCAGACTGCAAGATGTGATGGCATAAGGTAAAGAATACATGCTTTAATTGGAGGAGGGTCCCCCACATGCTGCAATTACACTAGCAACTCTTCTGGGCATACTTTCAACAAGGTTTTGATACACAGCTTTGGGCATTTGTGTCCATTCCTGCTTCAAGAATATCGCTAGCTCAGCTGTAAATTTTGGACATGGTTCCCTGGTCCGTAAGTGTCACTCTAACTCATCCCACAAATGTTCTATTAGGTTTATGTCAAGACTCTGAGCAGGCCAGGGAAGACGGTTGACTGAGAGATACCACTCAAGATACCACTGCTTGACAGAGGCTGCAACATGACAGGGAGCATTGTCGTCCTGTAAGTAACATTCGTCCATTCCATAAAATTGCCAGAGCATAGGAAAAACCTGATTGTCTAAAATATTCATGTAGGCATAGACATTCAATTTAACAGGAACAACATGCAAAGGTCCAGGCCATACCACGAAAAACACGCCAAACAAGAACACCACCACTACTGAACTTGACAGGTGTCTGGTCCATTACTGTGGAGTAGTGTATTTTGCCTTAGATGTCAGATTGTGGTCTTGCCTAAATGGTTTCCACAATGGTTCCACAATTTTGAAAACCTGCAAACGGTTTTTGTGGCAGGTTTCAAAATTTGATGTTTGTTCAATTTTCACATTTGTTCTTGAATTGCAAAATGAGACCAACACATTACAAAATTATGCATAGCTAGCATTTTGGCTTGAAAAATTCAATCTCAATTGGCAGAATGACAAATCAAATGTCAAATGGCAATGTCTAAGGTGGCAAAAAGACTTTATTTCATGCTATAGCCAAATAGTGAAAATAGTCAGGCTTCCTTTTGATTGCACTACACATATTCTCCAATTAGTGTGGTAATTTTACAGAATGCATTAACTGCACTAACCAGATTTTCTTGAAGTTCCATTATATTCATATAGTAGCTGTTGAAGATGATATTGCAAAAATTAGCAGATAAACAACATTGGATGAATTACTATTAATTAATAATGATAATTTTAATCTAATTAATCTTTTAATTAATCAGTTTTTAATTGTTTTAATATGTCTTCTTAATATCAAAGTAAATAAAACTAAAATTTTTCATTAATTTTAATCTTATTTTACTTCACACAATGTTATTAGTTGGTTCATATTATCTGTATTAACAAGTTCTAAGTGATTACAATAAGCAAATTCTACTATATTTATGAATTAAATAGTTTAAAATCAACATTTATATATTTAACATCACAGTTTTCTAATGTAAAGTTTTCTTTACAATTCTTTAATTTTTGAGTATGGTATGGGTCTGTCTAATATAAATAAGTGGCAAGCAAACAAGCTTAGCTGCCGCTTGTCTCCTACATCTGTATTTCCCAAAGTTTTCGGAACACCTCCAATTTTTAATAATTAAAAATCTCTGAAATTTTTAAAATAACAATATCTTGTAAGTTTTACTATTATATAAATTATTGTGGGCAATTCTGATGGAAGTTAACTGGAGAGAGGATAAAAACTCCAATTCAAGCAGTAGCATACAAGATCTGTTGTGAGGTGTATGCTTCAGTCTTTCTGGAACTTTTCAATGTGGACTTTTTCATTGTCCTTTAAAATATTTGTATTAAAATTTCAAAATGTTTAGTATAACCCATGAGTTGTTGCGCAAAAAAAAAAAAAATTCAGGAATTGCTCATGGTCATTTCAACCAGGCCTTTTAAAAAGGACATAAAAAAATATAAGAACCATTGTTTCTGATTATTTGATATTCTCATAACAAAGAGAATAATTGAAACTTTTTTAACACAAAAATTATTTAAACAAAAACATATTAAACATTAACATTAAATTTTATTTAACATAAAATATAAAATATTGTGAACTTTTAAATTTAATGGTTAAAAAGGACAAAAACTTGAACTTTTGTATATTCATGGAGTTACAAAAGAATTCCACCGTGGTTTCATCATTTCACCACAAATAGTGTAAGTTCAGGTGCAAAGCTTTAAGAATTCCCACCTTGTAGAGAAAACCAATAAAAGCCTCTATTTCGCTCCTTGACATATCACTCACATCTTGTTCACAGGTATAGTTTGAACATATTTTTTGTATATGTTGATTTGTATACTTCATGATCTCATCCAAAATTTCATTTGTAAAAAATAACCTCCAGGCAGCAACAGGTGAATTCACATCTTTCTGTGCTTTTACACCTGGAAAGCGTCTAACTAAATTATGATCAGCTGTTCCTCTATTGTATGGAGTACAGTGAATTTCCCGTTTAGTTTTTCCATCCATTCCTATATATTCAGGCTTTATTTCAATTTCTGCTTCATTATCTCCAGACTGCACTGAAACTGTATCCTGTGTCTATCTACATTATCTTCAACCTGATCATCAAAAAATAACTCAACTGCTTCAATAGTGCGTTCGTCTGAAAACAAATGTCTTCAAATTGTACCTGGATTTTCTTTTCTTTCTTCTTCTCCACTCTTCTCTACTTTCACAATTTCTAATAATCTCAAAAGTCTTTCTTCTTCTTTTCTATCCATTTAGCCCAAGACAACAATCATTAAAACTAAAAATATATAACGAATACTAATATAACACAATAATAAAATGTTAAGTTTACTGTGAAACAAGCACACGTAATAGGTTGTGCACGGTTGAAAACACCAGGTGTTAACAAAAAGCAATTTACTCAACAACTAAAAAAAGCATGATGGTTACAAAAATGGTGCAAAAAGTTAGTGAACAAGTCTACAGGAAAGTACTCTAAGGGTGGTATTGTACACTATTCGAGCTTACGAAAGTGACAACAAAAACAAAACAAATGTGGTTGAAAAGATCGGTCGCATTCCATGACGGGATAAAAATAGTAGCTTAATCTTTATCCATACGTTTTTGAAAAAAATACTGAGAAATCAATACTCTGATATACATGATATTCTCTCACCATTCTTCTTTTTATTATCCTCTCACTTTTTCACTTATGACCTATTCTGATTTCAGATACTTAGAGGCTTTATGTAACTCCTTAGTGCCTTACTAACTTTGTGATGTAGCAAAAATCCTTTCCAGGAACCAGCTGATACAATACAAACATGAGAAAGACAAACTAACAAATTTTAGCAGACAAAGGAAAAAAAAAAAAAATTTATATCTAACATAAATTAATACGAACCCAATGTCATAAGTCACATGGCAGGCAATTGTCAAATTGTAATGTATTGTTGAAAAAGTATATGTCATCAAACACTTTTAAACAAATATAAAGTTTCAATAAGCACTTATTTTATCTCTCTTTGGACTCATCTGCCTTTCTTGATTTTGACATGAAATTTTTGATAACGCCGAATTATTTTCTAATGTTTTTTTTGTGTGAATATTGTGCTCTGTGTGAATTTAGATCATTATTTAAAATTATGTCAGAAGAAATGTTTTAGAAATTTGCACAAAAGAAATCCAAATTGTGTGACACCAAAATTTAACAAGTAAGTAGTGACAGGTGAACAGCTAGACTGAATTTTGCTTCTGGTTTTGCCAATTCTCCTAAAGTTAAGTTGGCAATATTGCTGCCAGTAGTGTATAGTTAAAAATTTTTTGCTTTAAAGATTTTAATCTCTAAATAGGTACTTATATGAAAGTACAGTACAAATTTGTTTGCACTTTTCTAAAAAAATTCTTCAACTGTTTTACATAGTGGTTGGAGTCCAAGCTCAGTGTTCATAAAGTATATTGTTCATAAATTGAGGAAAAATTGTAATATATTTAAATGAGATTAGTTCCTTTAGTACAAAAATTGACTACTAACTTAAAAGTTAATATTTCAATTCTAATAAAGAATTATGATTATTTTTTAATTATTTTACATAAATATTTATAAATAAAATAAGAAAAAAAAATGATAAAACATATTTGAAAACAATGCTTAATACAGAAGCCTTGATAAATGGGTTTGGTTCAGGGTCATTTTGATTTTGATTGACAAAGTTCAGATGTTTGTCTGGCTAAAAACTGCAGTGAAGATCTTCTGTTGAGCCTTTTTCCTTTTCTCCTCCTACATATTATATGATTTGAGAGCATTTGTTACTGCTCTTTGGATGGAAAAACTGCATTCCAGTTAGAAGATTCAAAGGCAGTTTGTATCTGTTTTAAAGCTTCCTGAAGTGTTTTTATGGCAAATAGTACCATTTCCTACATTTCTTTGTCCTCTTCAGCAACTTGTGTTGTCAGTTCTTTCAAATCTTTCTTTGAAATTGGCTTTAAAGCAATTCATTCACATCATCTAAGTCAAAATTCCCAAAATTCAATTTTAGCCATTCCACACATATCATCAGCTATATCTAAAACAGGCACAAACCAAGAAAGTTAAACTGTATCAGGCCACAATTTCTGCCAGACACCATTTATATATGACTGTAGCACTTTTTCCCAAACTGTTGAAATGTTTGTTATTCTCTTTAAATATATTAAAGAACTTCCAAAAAATGTTATTAGATTTTACATCAAAATGCCACCAACTTTGATAACAATCACAGTATTACATTGCCAACATATTACATTTATGCTTTTGTTTTTCATCTTTTATCATGTTTTTGAATTTTGCTATTAATTTTGAAATGTTTGTTAATGTGAATCTTCTTTAAAAGGAACATAAAATGAGACCTTGCTGTATTGTAATAATTTCTATTACATACAATTGGATCTACAAAACATAACTATTTTATAGATCCAATATTTCATTTTATGATACCAATATTTTGTAGTATTGAAAAATGTAATTCCTATATTAATAATTATATTAATATAATTGTCAGGTTTTTCAGAATGTATTATTAGTGGAATATTATATATACTAAATCTTTTACTCCTTATACACAATCAAATAATCATGGTTCCATCAAGATCTTATACAATTAAACAATTTTTATTGATAACTGACAAAAATAACTGTTCAGACATATTTATAATGTATATGATAATACCATCTGTCATATTTATACATAAAATCAGTTTTACCGTATATTTTTATATATACAGTAAAATCTGTGTAAACTGAAATCACACAGTACCAAATTATCTTTTCTGATTTGGCAGGTTTCTGTTTTGCTTTAATTGAGAACTAATCGATTCTAAAAAGTTTTCAGTGTTTCTGTGAACTTGTGCTAGGCATTCAAATACTTTTTGGATATGATCCTCATGATTTCACTTGATAGCAAACAAGCCAATTTGCATTATGATACAAAAACTAGTGTCTTGCTCTGCATTAGAATATCTAACTATATTATAGTAATATAGAGACTTAAGTTATTCTGTGATCTTGCTTCATGAGGAATTTTAATAATCTAATTAATTGTTTACTTCAATCTGTAATTATTAACATGTTAATTAACTTGTTATAGAATACTTGATGAGTTAGTTGGTAACTACTAACTACTCCTTACAAGACAAATTAACAGCACCATATTTTCACAAATTACATTCATTGCCTGTTTTCAATAACTTGATTCTTAAAAGTATCTAATTCTACCCTTGGTTAATTCCAATAAAGACTTTGGTCTGTACAGGATCATTGAGAACTTGTATGGGACCCAAGTGTAAAGTAGGCTCCTTTTACCATTAATTTTTCCTTTGAATAAATGAAGTACAGTCAACCCCCCCTATAACGCTGTTGATAATTCCATTTTATATAAATTCCATGTTGCACGAGTCACTTAGATTTTACAAATACGTGAGCCGTTCACAGCCCGGCACATGTATTTGTAAAATCTGTACATAGAACATTTCTTTATTAATATAAAACAGTTGTATAAGATTTTAATTTTTGCTAGTAAAAATAACATTAATTTGTATGGACATGAATTACTATGGGCCTCTTAAGTTTTATCCAGGCTTGGGAAAAAAATCCCAACTCCATACTTTCTTAACAGTCCTAGGTTCCCTTGTCATGTGACCTTAGTTTCTCTGACAAGGTTCAAAATTGTTTTGGGAATACAATTCATTGCAGAATTGTCCTCTGCGATGACTATTATACCTGGAGGAGATTTTACTTATTTGTCTACAAGTGAAATTTTAATTTTCCATTTTATTCAAATTAAGTTGTGTTCTTTGTACCCAGAAACATCTTTGGTTTCTGCATTGGACAGGTTTGAGGCTTTTAGTAAGATTCAACATAGAAAAGTCACTCCATTCTGAAGAATGATTTCCATTTAGACAGGTTTCTGTTTTAGACAGGTTTTTGTGTATTATTGATAGTTGACAATAATCATAGTATAAATAAATCATTATTAGAGAACAATTTTAAAACAAATACATTACTACTATTAAAATATAATTTTTATATTTTATTATCCTTTCTCTTAAAATTACAAACATATGCATATGAACATTAAATATAAATTGTTTTACTTATCATAGTAAACTAAAAATTATTTTATAATTCTGTTATTTTATTTTAGTCATAAATTAATTAATACTAACTTTTTAAATAAGAAAAATTCAAAACTGAAAATTATAAATGTGCAAATAAACTTACTTGATTAATCAAAATATCTTGCTGAAGTTTTTCAGCTGCTTCTACATCATCACTTATTAAAACTTGTCTTTGGCTACGTCTTAAAGGTGGAGTTAAACGAGAAGGACTACTCAGATCACAGGCAGAAGTATGGCATTCCAGTGGAATTAAATTAAACCTTTTGGCAGGATTTTTTATTCCAATTGAGGCAGGCTTGGTAAATTCAAATGATGGATTATAATATTCTCTAATAAACAAATGAGAATCTGAAAGAGTGCGTGCCAACTTTCCACTACATAAAATGCCTTTAAAACGCTGCATTGATCTTTGTTCCTGACAGACACACTGATAATCATTTTGATAATGGTGATGATGGTGGCGATGATGATGTCTTTTACAGAATCGATTTTTCAATTTGTACAATTCTAAATCTTCAGAACTAATCATGCTCTTTGGCCTAATATTAATTTCCTTATATACAATGCAAGAATCTGATACCGTAGAATTCCTAATATCTTTGCGATTAAAATACACATTATCCCCACTTTCAAACATACTTTTAATAGTTTTTCTTTTATCTGAATTCTCTAACGATATAAGAGATAAACTACTATTATTCAGTAATTCAGTTTTTAAAACATTTGAACTATCTTCATCTGTAATTGTTGCTTTTTCAGCTGTTTGTGTTCGTTGTTTAGGAGGATAAGTGCTATCAACTACTGTTTTGGAATACTGAATGAAAGGTAATGTTATATGCCTAGGATCATTCCTATGAGATTTAAAACCTTGAGGTGTCAAAAGTGTTATAATTTTATCATATGCTGGTAGAATACGACTTTTGATGGAATGATTTAATGAAGATTCAATAATTTCTTCACCAAGAGGATTTGTACAAGTGGTTAAACTTGAACTATCACAACTGTTTTGAATTTTACATTCATCATTGTAATTATTCACTTGTTCAATAGTTTCTATTTCATTTTCATCACAATCAGCTTTTATCACTGAATTACTTTTATCGTTTCTTATTAGTGAACTATCTAAATCTCTTTCAAATCCTGAACATGCCTCCTCTTCCTCCTCTTCCACTCTTGCATCTTCAGTATCTTCTTCTGACAAAGGCTGAAGATATTGTTTTGAGTTCAAATTATTTTCCTGAGGAGGTAAAACTGCTTCAGTAACTTCATTCAAATTTGATAAAGATTTTTCAATGTGACTAAATGAATTAACTGGAAGTGGACTTGTACATAACTGTCTAATATGAGGAACACAATCACCAGTGATCTCTTGAACATCACTGGACATTGTGGAATAACCTTCATCTTTATTACCATGTTCACTAACAACTGACAAAGGACTATTACTTTCTTGAACTGTGTCAATGTTGGACATAGAAAAAGTTACATGATTGGTAACAGAAGTTGGAATTGGACTACTTATACAAGTTTTAAGCACAAATGTTTGACTTACATTTGTCCAATCCTGATTTTTGTCTGATGATTTATTTTGATCAAAATCATTTATGGGAGTTGGTGGTAGCTCTCTGGCAGGAATCCTAAGTTGCTGTTGTTCATTACATTGAGTATTTGTACTTTGGCAATTTATTTCATTTGTAACATTAATTGTATGTGGTTTTCTAATTACAGTGTTCATAGCAATTTCACTTTCTTCACTACTAGAACCTAATTGATTTAATATATTTTCATTATCTAATCGTTCTGAATCTGTTTCACTTGTCTTATCATACTGGGATGTGTCAGGAAATAAAGGAGCATCTATGTCTTCATATACATTACCGCACTCATTTAAAATATGACTCTTACATTCAAGAGCTGGAAAACTAAAGTTATGAGCAGGATCACTCATAACATGTGGAATGATATTTAATGTTGTGGGTCGAGGAACAGAAATACCTGTTGCCACAACTGTTGGAACGGAAATACTAGATTTAGTTCTATATACAAAATTCTGACCAGCAGAATTTAAATTTTCATTAACATTTATTATTGAAGGAATATCAATATTTTGTGGTTTTGTTTCACTATTCTGATTGAATTCTTCCAATTCTGTGTAACCATTGGAAATCAAATTGTTGTTAGGTTTGTATTGACTAGATACTAACAATTTTTGTGATGATGAAATCAAAGATAAACTATCAACATTAAGACAGTCATCCATTGGAGTTTCCATTGCATCCAGACTGCCTATGTCATTATGCAATACAACTTTTTTGGACAAATCCATTTTACCACACTTAGTCCATTCTTCATCTCTGCTTGAAGCATCATTTTCTTGTATGTTCACTGCAATGGGAGAATACATCATTCCTTCAGTCATAATTTTACACTGATTCCTATCACGTAAAGGAAATAAAGATCTGTATTCAGTTTTTCCAGATTCTAATACAAAAGGATGTAAAATATCTTGTTCTGAAAGTTTCGATCTTATGTGTCCAGATTTATTATTACATAAAGGGCTTTTCATATAAGAGGTAGAAGATACATTGGTGAAAGTTTTTCCTTTTTTATCATACACAGATCTCTCTTTTAGCCACTGCGGTGGGGAACTCATTTTTGGTAAACCTGGATAAGACATCATAGGCTAAAAAGTTAAAAGTACACATTTAGAATATGAAATAAAGTACATATATTAGTTACAAAAAATATTTTAATTTAATTTATTTGAATATTTCAAATTATCACAAAATAAAATAAAATTTCTTTTAATCAGAACAATAAAATTCTGAAATTCAAAAAACTCAGTATATCAAGGATTCTAAAACAATAATTTAAGTTTAATCAAAAATCATGTAAAGTTCTTATATTTATAATGGCATAATTTTTTTACTAACAACACACATAAACATTTAAACTTTAGATCATTTAGATTTACAGTCGACCCTCCTATAACAGTGTTGATAATTCCGTTTTATATGAATTCCATTGTTGTACGAGTCATTTAGATTTTACAAATACGTGAGCCGTTCACAGCCCAGCACACGTATTTGCAAAATCTAAGTGATTCGTATAACATGGAATTCGTATAAAACGGAATTATCAACACTGTTATAGGGGGGGGTCGACTGTAATTTACTTAACACATTTATAAATGCATTAAGTACATTAAATACATAAAATATATCTTATGTACAGTACATATAAATATTTTCAACTAGGAAATTTCTTATAAGTATTTCTAGTTTAAAATATGTTTATATTTCTAGATACAATTATAATTTTAACGAGCACTACATGCAGTATGCAGGTATTGAAATGTATAAGTATTAAGAATATCGTGAGAATCATGATTTTATTAATTAATTATCATGGGAAATATATTTAGTTTTCTTGAATTGTTTACCAAAAAGGAAGACACATTCAACACTTTTTACAAAAGAAGGAATCAACTTCTTTTCCCACAGGATTTATCGGTAATTCTGACCACCATCTGTATTTTTACCCCTTCTACATGTCATCATGCATCATGTTGTAATCGTGGATCATTTTATGCCATTGGTCAGAGAGCCTGATAAAAGGATAGTTTACCTGCCATTCGAGGCAGTCCATAAGAAATTGGGAAAGTGCCATACAAGACACATCTCCTCGTCCATAAGATCTCTTCGACATATTTTAACTTGTGCACATACAGAAAAAAGGAAGATTGTCCCAAAGAGTTTATCCTCCATCTCCCGTACTCCTCCAAAGACTACTGACCGACTTACATCATAAGGTAGTATGATTTATATCATACTTGTAAACTCTCTCTCTCGTGAGGAATAGATAGTTTTGTTATTCTTGTGATTAGGTTAAAGAAATGTTATTCTCTCCATACATCTGTATTTACTTTGTTAACCTTATTAAATCTTGTTTGTTAATTAATATGGTCTCGTCTTTGAACTCAGCTCTATATCAAGCTTATCACTTACCCGCATATCCTCCCCACTCATGAAATAAGCCCTCCTACTTTAATTTATTCACTATCTCATATCATGAGTTAAAACTGGTGTCAGGAATCCTGAGTATAGATCGGGATTTTACGATCTCTGATCTAAAACATCTTTTTAAAGCCATTCTACGACTCTGCGGGCAGATCTTCCAGATCCGTAGCCGATTAAGTGGTAGAGACTACATTTATCTACCCAGTTCTTCACAATATTAATTAAAATACAATAAGTTTTAATTCAAAATGTAATTCATTTGATTTACAACAGAATAAAACTGAAATTTAATAGATGAAAAATTGTATTGTACTGATTTTAAAATTCAAAGAGAAACCAAAAACTAGCAGGATATATACAAGCAAGGAAAGAAGAGGAGGGCATTAATAACACACACACTTCAATATTAAATGCTGGAAAAACTTATGTGGTTAATCAGATGGCTGCATGTTATTTGCATTTACTCTGTTGAGCAAGGTGTTGTTATTTTTACTGTTTATTTTTTATTTATTTGATATATTTTTTTTGTTTAAATTACTCAGAATACTTTTAAATTTTGAATAATTAAGTCATGTTTCTAGAGTTTGTTCATTTTTTTTTAATTTTGTGAAATATGTAACTTAATGTTGACTACTAAGTATGATCAAAATTTAGTTAATTAGTTATCAACTGAATTGCTGGAAATTGAGTATTTTACTTTGTTTTCATTTTATTAGAGTCAGTACCATCAAGTACAGTCGACTCCCCTATAACACGGGTTCCTATAGTTTGGATTCCTATATGACGGTGAAAAAATTGCGATGGTATCCATACAAACATGGTAAAAAAACTCCTATAATTCGGTAAAACGTCATCGGGCAGCCGAACTACTTTCCGCCATCCAGTGCCACGCTACGAAGAGTTTAGGTGAGTAAGATGAGTTTACTATCGTCTGTACAGTATGTAAATTAGGTACCGTAAGACTAATACATCACTAATTTTATACATTTCTTGTGAAAGAAACATTTCTTATTCAACGGCCATAAAAATTATTTATATTAATGATGTCTCCAAAGTTCAATGAAGTTTTCGCAGAAAAATAACTTATCAGAAATCGTGGCCGCCGTTTGGTGCGCTGCTCCGCGATGAAAACAAGCTTAAGCAATGGCAATGTCAAACGGTGCACACTCGGTAAGTAATCCTACAATGTTTTGTTCATAGCAAAGTTTATACGAATTATTCCCAAAAAAATATACGTGTTTTGGAAATGTTGAGTCGAATTAGTCTAGGAATCGATTAATTTTATGGAAGGAAACCTTTCAAACAGCTGTAGTCCGTAAAGTGCATACGTGCTGGGCTGTGATTGGCAAGGACTCGTACAAAATGGATTCATAAAGAACGGAACACATCTACCATGTTATAGGGGGTCGACTGTATCTATTTGGTCTCCTCCCAAAACAATCATAACCTCATAAAATCACAAGAAAAACAAACAATAAAATAAAAACATAATTACAAAAACAAACCTAACACACAGCATTTGATAAAATGAACAAGTTTTAACTAACTTGTTCATTTTACCAAATATTAAAAGCAGAAAACTGATTTACATAGTCTTTTAAATAACACAAATTGAATATGCAAAATGTTTCAAATTATAATAAATTATTATTCAAATATTACAAAAATTATATGAACAGCAATAATTTATACTTATAATAAGTATATAATTTTACTTACATTCCCTCCACTGCTACCACTATGAGTTGAATAATCACTACACATACTAGCAAGAGATTCAGTACTATCTTCTGACTGGCTATTATGGGAAGGAGAATCATGACTTGCATGTTGCTGTAAATTCTTTTGCACCTTGTAATATAATAACAGGAATTGATTTCTAATTTATTTATTTATAACTATTAAACTTTAATAAATTAAAAACAATTAAGAATTTCATTGTATAATATAATTATGCAAATATATTGAGCTATTGTCATATATTAAACTATTTTAAAAAGTACACAAATATATTAATATATAATGATTATTTAATGTATCTGATAGTGTATTTCAATGTAAATTATCAATATAACAGTGTACTAAAACATTGTAAACATAAAAATTTTCAACATATGAACGTATTAAAAAGTTAAATTTAAAACTAAAATATATTTTTATTATATATTTTAAAAGAATATGCTTAATTACTAATTTTAAATTTTGTACCATATTTTCGTGGAATGACTGGCATGCTGGTCTATCTGGGGAGACATGAAATCAGATATTTCTGTATGGTAAAAGCTGGCATGCCAGTTTAAGTGAGGTTATATATCCCTCTCTAGAGAGTGCATTAAAAAAAAAACGAATGAGTTTTTATTCTAAAACTGAAACTGTCAGCATTATTACATCAAAAATTATGATTATAGGTTTAATTTCTTCATTTTGTCTTCTTTCTAACAAAGTAAAATACTCATGGAATTCTGAAAGTGCTTTCTTATGTGTATTTTATTGTTATTTATTTGAAAAATGCAAAAATAAACATATTAAATTTAAGAAACTGGCTGTAAATTAGCTCAGCTTACACTGATTAACATCCACTTTGTGTGAAATTTGAGAGGAAGGTGTTATTTTTAAAGTCAGGGTAGATGGTCAGTGAAGCCCATGCTGATTAACCACTAACATCAATAAGTCGTTTTATTGTCTTGTAAACAAAAACTCTTCCTGATTTTAAGTCAGTCAAATTACAATGTTATTATTTTATTGTACCTGAATAATGTTTTCTTTAACATTTAATTAACAACTAGTTTTGTTAGATATGATTAATTTTATATTTTAGTCACAGTTTAACCAGCACACCAGTAAGCTCAAGGTTTCGGCATGCTGGTCATCCCGTTTTTATGCAGTACGTCGGTCATTCTGTGAAAATACAGTATATATATATTTTTTCTATTAAATCATGTTTTCTATTGGGTTGTTTGGAAAGTAAGTTTGCTTTTTTTTTCCGTGGAAAAAAACACAATATTTTTATAATAAATAAATATTTTATTGAAGTATATATTAACCTTTTCGGTCAAATACCTGTTGTCATCGTTTCTGGTAGTAGCATAATTTCACATTCATGATCGTTGCTTACAAACAACTGATCCAAGTGATTTTTGATATTGTCATTTCAAATAAGCATCTTACAGTTAAAATAAATTTGTATAGACCGGAACAACTAATAATCTGAGTGTGCTTGATCTGGCAAATATGGTTGGTGTGATAGCACATCCCATGTTATAACAGTTTCTGACGAGTTACCAAACTTGTGAAATTTGACATTATCGTGGTAAAACACTAAACCTGTTTTGTTGATCAATTCCAGCTGCCTTTTCTATTTGATGATATTACTCAGTTTGTTTACTCGATGGCAGTACACTTTCGAATCAATTGTTAAATTGTCCGGTAAAAGCTCCAAAAAAAATTTCCTTAAAATCCCACCAAAGAGAGCATCTCTCTTTAAGAACATGTGGAACCCATATATCAAGCTTTGAAACGAAACCAATTTGTTTCAAGTAATCATAAACAGTTCAATTTGACAAATTTAATCTCTTAGTGATTTCACGTGTTGTTATTCGGCAGTTTGCTTCAATCAGTACCTTTATTTTGTTTTCATTGGCTTCAACTGGCCATCCAGAACGTGGTGCATCTACAATATTGAAATTGCCAGAATGAAATTTTGTAAACCAGTTTTGGCACTGTCGTTCTGTCAACACATCTTCTCCATACATGTTACACAATTTTTTTCTCACTTGAACAGCATTCTTACCTTTTCGGTAATAAAAGAGCAAAATATGCCGAAAATGCTGCTTTCGATCTTCCATATTTGATGGGACACAAAAAATAAACAACTGCACAAAATCAAACAAAATTTTTTACAAATAAGCCTTAAAATGCTAGCTGTCAAAATATATAATGATAACAGTTTAGAATAAAACTGGCGGGAAAAATACGACTAATCTGTCTAGTGGTAAAAAAAACGAACTTACTTTCCGAACAACCTAATATAATGTGACATGAGTGTGCATATATATTGTGATGGACTAAATCTTAATTGCAAAACTTTATTAAAAAATTTTAATTTGTGTAAGCAAATCTGATACTAAACTACAGTAAAATAATTTTTAATTTCATTAAATTACATTAAAATACTATTTTATTATACAGTAGAGCGTCGTTTATCCGAATCAATTGGGAACTGGGGTTGTTCGGATAACTTACTTTTCGGATAACTGATTATGTATGAAAAAATACATTAACCTATCCCATGTTGAAATTTTTCTCCGTTGTGTGTCTCTTCGCGTTGAATTTTCATCTATGTTAAGACTAATGTAAAATTTTTTAAATAATAATCATGGCTATTGTATCGTTAAAAATTATTTCTTTATTTTTTACAAACAAAATACATATATTAAAAATTATAAAAACAAGAAAAATTATACTTTAAAAGTTAATTTAGTATCAAAANTAAGTTAATTTTCTGCGAAAAATTCGTTGAACTTTGGAGACATCATTTATAAAAAAAAATTTTTATGGCCGTTGAATAAGAAATGTTTTTTTCACAAGAAATGTATAAAATTAGTGCTGTATTAGACTTACGGTACCTAATTTACATACTGTACAGTACAGACCATAGTAAACTTAACTTACTTGCCTAAAATCTCCGTAGCGAAAATTTTAGATAACGTAAAAATTATAAAATTACAGTATTGTATTAGACTTACAAATATATAATTTATATATACAAACCTATATTTATATATATAAACTTAATTTATATATAATTTAAATATGATACTGTACAGACGATAGTAAACTCAACTTGCACGCCTAAAATCCCTCTAGCGTGGCGCTGAACAGTGGAAAGTAGTTCGGCTGCTCTTCCACTATTGCGATGAACTTTTACCTCATTTTACGAATGTCTCTTTTAGCGTCCTTATACGAATACGGTCGCAATATTTTGCCACGATATACGAATCTGCATTATTTGAACTTGCGTTATAGAGGTCTACTGTTCGTAAATAGTGTTTATTCATCACAGATTAATTAAAATACTTTGGTTTATGTCACTTTATCTCATTTCTTCACACAGAAAAGTACATTACTGATTATACAACAAAGTTATGATCAAATATTTGTCAATTTGAGAGCTATGTGTAGTGGCGCCATCTAGTTTTAAGTGCAAAACTATAATTTTCAAATTATGAAAGCATTAATTGGCTGATACGTTAGTGATGACACGTGTATTTGAATTAGGAAACAAATATTTTTAATTTATATTGGTAAGGAAAGTTTTAGAATAAAAATAGAATTTACTTGTGCATTTTCTAGCCATGAGTCTTCATTTGATTCAGAATACAATGGTTTTTGCCATTTATTTTGTGAATCACATCCCAACTATAAAATTTAAAAAATTCTGATAAAGTGTAAGAAATAATAATTAACACTTAAATAAAATTGTAAATAATTTAATAGCTTATATAACAAAAAAAAGGAAATAATTTTTTTATATCTACTAACTTAATATTACTGCTACAAACATAATACAAATAATTATGGTGTAATTTGTAAACTAAAAAATATTAAATAAAAATAAATATATTTGATATATTTATAAAAAATATGATTTNAATGATTTATGTCCAGTGAAATTAAAAATTTTAAATAAATTAAAACATTAATTATTCCTCAATATTTAGAATAAATATAAAATAAATGAATAAAAAATGTTTAATGAATGAAAACATCAATTGAAATTCTAAATATCTTTTAAAACTTGTTATTTTATCAGCATCAATTATGACTAACCAAATATCCTACTCAGTTCCTTAAATAATAAATCATTAAATACCTGATGCTGAGAAAAACTGTTTATTATAGAAACATTAATGTTTTCGACCTAATATGATAGGCCATCGTTAGACAATTTATTATCAATTACGACAAAAAGAATCATGTGAGAACAACTCATTCTTAAATATGAAAAGTTTATTAAAATAAATTATTTTCCCTATTATATCACTAAAACTGAAAAAAAATTTACATTTTTGTTTAAAAAACATTTTAATCCTGTAATAATTTCAATCTTATAAATCCAAATAAAAATCGCCTATTCTAGTAAAATTTAAAAAGTCAGTTTTAAAGTTTTAGAAGCCAATTATGAATTGCTAATAAAAATATTTTTCTTTCCTACTTAAATTTTAGACATGTTTACATGTGGCATACAATTAATTACAGGTGGAGATAAACATGTACGACATACTCCACCTGTCACAGACAGACAAACACATTTTCTGTTAACAACTATGCAAACTATCACTAAATTATTTTGACTGTAAGCAGAAAAATAGAAAAACTATTCTAATATAAAAAGTTCAGCAAATTTTAAAACTCTAAACATTATATATTTAAAATACATTAGTTTTCACACTGATATTTAACTTTCATATTAATTAAAGATATTCTGGGGTGAAATCTGAATGTTTTATATCTTTTATGGTTTGTGTACTAAAAATTTTAGTGTCCTTACATTTTAATTTGACAAGTTCTTTCTGTTCTCTATTTCTTATTTCTCTCTTTTTTATTTTATTTTAAATTCTATTTCCAAGACAACAGAAAATTAATAGAGGCACATCTGATCTGCATATAAATAAAAACTAGAATGTCTCGAATATGCAGGGAAAAAATCTATATGACCATTCAATTGATTAGATTAATTCCATATAATTCCCATCAATCAATTGCTGGATATTATGCAGACAATTTTTATTCTTACACATGTTATTATTAGAGAGAGTATTAAATAAGTTAAGACAGACCTCTCTCTTTTCTATCTATGATCTCTTAATATCTATACATAGTGAAACCTTGTTAATTCAAATTGGTAAGAGAAAAAATTTGGACTTTGAGTTATAGAGGTTCAAGTAAAAATAAAGATTTTGTGCTATGGTTTATTGGTGACCCATAATAAACTATCCATACAATATTTCCATGGATCTTATTACTCAGAATCATTGTGTCGATGTAAACTTCTCGGTGTTTTCCAGAAACCTGTAAATGCTTAACTGAATGGTTAAGTAAATGCTTTTCCGAATGGTTGATCCATTCACTCCTAAGTGTTTAGTAAGAATTATTTAATTGTGATATTTCACATCTAGAATTGATCTGTATTTTATTTTTTTATCACAAACATACCAATCTTTGATTGTTATATTTTTAAAATTTTGCCACAAAGGTTAAAATTTTCACACAGAATCAGACTATAATTGTTTTATAAAATTAATTTATCAAAAATCCATTTATTTATTAGGTCAATTAGTCAGAGAAATCCATCAGCAATCAAATAAATAAATAAATAAATGTTTGGAAAAAAACAGGCTTGAATGGCAGTTACAGTATCTAGAGTCACTCATGCTATCTGGAAGCATCCCCTACAAGCACTGTCACATGACACAATGCTTATTTTTAGTCATTTGTGGTTCCCATGTTTTATAGAAAGTTTCTGATTAGTTTAATCAATAGATGAATGTTAATTATTTTAAATTAAAATTCTGGAAAGTTTATGAAAATATTGTATAAAAACCCTATTACAGTTAACAAGTTTGATTTAACATATAAAGTCCTATGCTAGATGATCAGGGAAAGAAAATGACTTTGAGTTATCCCAGTTTGAGTTAATCAGGTTCCACTGTATTTATTTTCCAAAGTGATTTCCTAAAACCTCTAATTTTAAAGATCATATTACTTGATTTAATAATAATCAGTATGCTGTAGTTGATCAAAGTCAGAAAAAAAGTTTGACACATCTTTCGCTATATATACCAAAAACTATCATAATTGCCTAATGTGTTGTTAGATTACATTAAAAGTTTTTTGTTTCTTCATTGTTAATGGATGAAAATTACAACAAGATGTCTTTCAATGGATAACTTTCATAAAACTATTACATTGTTCAATACACAGTTATATTATTAAAATAATTAAAAATATAAAAGAATTAACATTTGGAATATGCTTATTTATCTTTCATTAATCACAAATGAACAAACTGTTTAAAAATATTACATTCCTTAAAATGATGAAAATACAGATTATAATATAATATCATGTCAATATTGTTCAAAATATTCAGAATACTGTAAGTATCTAATTTTGCAATTGTTTTCCTAGAAAGTATTCATTTATACTCATCAGGGCTAACCTTAAATTGATTGAGTCCAACTGGATTCTGCACCCCAGTGAGTCTAAAATTATGGTTATGTAATCAGTATAAAGTGAGGAAATTTTCTAAATACATTCTAAATACAACATTAAAATCTTTACCTCTCACAAAACAGACTAATAAAATTAGCAACATTGTAGTATTCAGTGTGAATTTTTTAGCAGTTTACTTATTGTTTAATTATTGTTTGTATTTTAATGATCTCAATAGTGCTTTTCATTTACTAAGGGCAGACCTGATGTGATGATCATTCAAAAGAATTAAATTGAAATTAAAGAATAAAAAAGAATAAAATTTTCAATTAATGAAAAATTACCTGATCTGAACTTCCTGCTGTATGAAACAAGCATTGTTTAAACATTAAAGTTAATGTATGATTCTGTCTTTCTAAATCTTGAACTCTTCTTTGTAATTTGCTACATTCTTCTCTTAAGCTCTAATATTAATTAAAAAGAGAGAAAAAAAATGCTAAAATTATATATTANTGTATAATATAATTATGCAAATATATTGAGCTATTGTCATATATTAAACTATTTTAAAAAGTACACAAATATATTAATATATAATGATTATTTAATGTATCTGATAGTGTATTTCAATGTAAATTATCAATATAACAGTGTACTAAAACATTGTAAACATAAAAATTTTCAACATATGAACGTATTAAAAAGTTAAATTTAAAACTAAAATATATTTTTATTATATATTTTAAAAGAATATGCTTAATTACTAATTTTAAATTTTGTACCATATTTTCGTGGAATGACTGGCATGCTGGTCTATCTGGGGAGACATGAAATCAGATATTTCTGTATGGTAAAAGCTGGCATGCCAGTTTAAGTGAGGTTATATATCCCTCTCTAGAGAGTGCATTAAAAAAAAAACGAATGAGTTTTTATTCTAAAACTGAAACTGTCAGCATTATTACATCAAAAATTATGATTATAGGTTTAATTTCTTCATTTTGTCTTCTTTCTAACAAAGTAAAATACTCATGGAATTCTGAAAGTGCTTTCTTATGTGTATTTTATTGTTATTTATTTGAAAAATGCAAAAATAAACATATTAAATTTAAGAAACTGGCTGTAAATTAGCTCAGCTTACACTGATTAACATCCACTTTGTGTGAAATTTGAGAGGAAGGTGTTATTTTTAAAGTCAGGGTAGATGGTCAGTGAAGCCCATGCTGATTAACCACTAACATCAATAAGTCGTTTTATTGTCTTGTAAACAAAAACTCTTCCTGATTTTAAGTCAGTCAAATTACAATGTTATTATTTTATTGTACCTGAATAATGTTTTCTTTAACATTTAATTAACAACTAGTTTTGTTAGATATGATTAATTTTATATTTTAGTCACAGTTTAACCAGCACACCAGTAAGCTCAAGGTTTCGGCATGCTGGTCATCCCGTTTTTATGCAGTACGTCGGTCATTCTGTGAAAATACAGTATATAAATAGCATAAAAATGAAAAACTACTGTTTACTGAAATAAACTAGATTAAAGACAACAAACTTATTTCAATTAACAATAATCTACAAACCTATTTGAATTTAAATGTATTTGTAGTTTAAAGTGCAATGTAAGTGTACTTAATTCAATGTTTTCTCATTATCATTTCAGAACTACAGATTCAGCATTTAATGATAATACAGTAAACATTACTCTTACTTTGTCAAAAATTTCTTACATTTAAATGTTTCAAATTACCATATCTACTAATATAATCCATGCACTTTTTCTAAAAAATTATAACAAAAAGTTAGAGTGCAAAGTTTATTCAAAATAAATTTAACGATGAAATCTATAAAGTAGAGGGTGCTTCCAGTTACTGAATGCTTTGCTTATTTTGCTAGTGATAAATTTTGCTTATTAACTGAATGGCTTTGCTTAATGTAATGACCATCTATAATTGATAGTTATGAAAATTGTTAATAAACATTTTGTTGTGACTAATTTTGTGAAAATGAGTGTGAAGTAAGTTAAATGTACAGATAAGACTGGCAATTTATAATATTTATACCTACATTATTTCTTAGCTATAGATCAGAAATTTTTCACCATCGGTTCAAAATTTAACAATGTAAAGAATTCTTACTTTTATTTAATTAGCAAGTTAATTCATCATAAAATACATTACAATTGCAGGTAATTGTTTAATGTATTTATTAATGACATAAATATTTTAAACAAATATTATTATATAACAACTACAAATGCCATATTATATTAAGAACTACAGTGGTACCTTGTACTTTGAATTTAATTCATTCCAGGAAACAGTTCAAACTTCAATTTTTCCCATTAAAACAATGGAAAGTGAATTAATCTAGTCCCACACCCTAAACAATACCCATTTCGATAAACATAAAACAGCAAATACATATAATTTAAGGTAAAAATAATACAATTAAATGTTCTAATAATAAATTAAAACATGAAAACAATGAATATAATATGTAAATATTGTATAATAAAACAAAAATTGCATTTACTGGTTGCACACCATTGCAACTTCAGTACCTTAAACATGGCTGAAGGTGTGCTGTTTTCATGCTTTGTGACAAGTTACTTTTTCATCTGAATCATCAATATTACAACCTCTCTCTTATTAGATTTTTTTGCTTCTCAGATACCATGATTAATAAATAAGTGATATTGGGTTAAATAAAAAGTAGAAAGTTTTGCATATTTTTTAAACATCTGTCCTTACTTAACAAAGCTGTACAATTTAACACATTATTACAAACTTACAATCATATTTTTTGTTCAGAAGCTTATTTTATACTTCAAGTGCATTTTTCACTGAGCATAGACAGTTCAAACTCCATAGCAAATTTTTGTGGAATTTAGAGTTTGAACTCTGAAGTGTTCAAAGTATGAGGTATCAGTGTATATAAAAGTTAAATATTTTCCATAAACATTATAAATGAGTATTCTTTATTACACAAAATGATAAAATACACCTTTAAATAAACTGTAATTAAAAACCATAGAAAAATTTTCTATAACATTTTAACAATAAACTTACCGTTTGTAAAGTTCTCAGTTCATTCAGAAGCATGAAATTTTCTTTTTCTAATGATGCAATACATGATTGAAATTTCCTAATTTTATTCTGAATTTAGAGTAAAAAAAAAACACATATATATATCAATATAAACTATAAATAAACAAAAGTATAAGCTTACAATTTTAATAATGACATATCAATCAATATTAGATATTATACAATCATTAAATTTAAAATTAAAATTACTAACTTTGTCAGAATTGAATATGTTACTATTTAGGACTTTCAATGAATAACATTTACAGCTTTCTTATGAACATTAGCAAGTTTGCACATTGGTATTTTCCATTATAAAATGCTTTGTTATAACCTAACAAACAGTTATAACGTTGTAAGTAAAGTCAGCCATTAGAAGTTTACATTGGCTACTGTTAAATGTAATTTTACAATCAGAGTAGTCCTTTGCTTATAACAAGGCCTATAAGATATACCAAAAGATTTACATCACTTTTTCAAATATGCTGAGTGAGAAGAAGACAGACTTTTGTTTTCTGACACTGAAAGGTATAAAGAAATCCATGAATTATTTAATAATACTTGTGAAGACACTGCAAAGAATGAAAATGAACAATGGAAGAATGTCTATTTTGTATTTTGTCAACTAAAGTTAGCATCTGGAACATTTTCAATATTCAGTCTAATAGTTTGATATAAACATTCTTATTCCTTACCAGCTCTCTACATAGATATATATACTAAATAATTTGCCAATCTTCCAGATCAAAGATTTCCAAGGCTTGTATGGTACAACATTTCTTAGACAACAATTTTGTCTTGTTTCATTATTTCCTATAACATTATGGCCATTATCTGTCAATAGTCTTGTTTTCAAAATGTAATGTTACAAGTATAGCAAGTTCTCACACAAACACTATCTATGATATTTAATGTTACACTACTTATAAACTTGTAAGTGCAAAAAAAAGAAAAAAATACCAGTGCACAAACTTCTTATTATCTAATGTAATTACACTATCACTAGAGTAAATCTGAAATGGAAATAAATAGCCAAATAGTCGTGATATCATGTACTCTAAACTTATATATATATATATATATATATAT